ATGGAATCCAGTGTATCGTTTTTGGTTGGCGCAGCAGTGGTCAGGATACCACCACCATTGTCCTGTTTCTCAGGCACAGCACCTGAGTGCATTCTGGCAGAACTTATTGGTCTAGAGGGTATCTCAGATGCAAATAAACACACGAATTCTGCACAAACACGCAGTTATTTCTGCTCCGCCCAAGCTGGAGTCTGTGCTTGTTTCCCTTCCACCATATCTTGAGTACTGAGTAGTCCACCAGGCAGCAAATACACTGGCCTTGGATTCCCTTCTTGTTTCTCAAATTGACTGTCATCGAGATTGTATCCTAGTACTAACTTGCACCGAATGCATCTCAAGAGGGTTCTCTTCTCGAATCCGTCTTCTCTGCGGATCATGACTGGTCTTCGCTCTGGCGCCACGTTGAGAAGCACCGAAGTCGCGGGTTTGGATTCTAGCATCTCAAGGCTCTCCACTCGAGTAATGTCGACAGGCGGAGCTAGGATCAGAGCGCCATCTTGAACAGGCTCATTGCGACGAGGAAGGGAATTCAGGTCATGCGCGGTTGCGAGAACGAGGGTCGTGCATAGGCAGTGGTAGGTGCGAATAGGCGACAACGGCGATCTGTCGGCCATTGATCTCAAACTGGGGTTGAAGGCTGTAGGCGAGAGAGGAATATGTCCTTGACAGGGCGCGTCGTGAACGAAAGTGCTTGATGAGAGCTCCACGCGTAAGTCTTTCGTTCATGCCCCCCCGCAAAAAAAATCCCAGTGGATTGTTCCAGGCGCCATCTGCGCCGCGAGATCATCACTTTTCGCTTAAACCCTCTGGTGCCTCTGGAGACCTTAGCGACGTCACCATTTACCGCCCTGGGAAAGTCGCGCAAATCGCACCGGATGCTGCCTGCATCCTGTATGTTGGTGTCGGTGTTATCGTCTTTGGCCTCTTACCTTGTATGATCTAGAGCTGAGGCTCTGTGCTCTTCCAGGGTAGAATCCAATGCCACCATTCCTCCCGAGAAAGAGGCGATCCACGTCGCCACCGGCTCCCTCTCGAGAGACTCCTGTGAAGAAAGCACGCCTCGCAGATGTATTGGACGCCCAATCGAGAAATTTTCCAGGGCTACAACGGACCGAGACGTTTTCTCTCGGGAGTGACGACTCCGAATCCTCTCTCAGTGACGTAGACAGCGAGCAGTTCGAAGACGTCCCATCGAACCTCAGGCAGCCGTCGGCTTCGACTCATCATGATGAAAAGGAAGAGGACGAGGACGAAGATATAGAATGGGAAGACGCTGCAGGCTACGATCATGAGAAGGAGTTACCGGCCTATAAACCGCAGTCGGACGGTCCTATCGAGATAACTTTGCGCAGAGCGGACAATGAAGCCGACAACTGGATTGCGCAAGCGGCAAAAAAGCGCAAAGGTCCCTCGAAGCGCGAAAAGCAGGTCCGGGTTTGTACCCATCAACTACACGTGCAATTCCTACTATGGCACAACTCGATTCGGAACAGCTGGGTCTCAGACAGGGAGGTTCAACAGATCCTCGTCCAACAGCTGCCTCCTCCGATCAAGAAGGAGGTCGAGAAGTGGAAGAGAGCCAGTGGGTTGATATCTGTAGAGACAGAGGGAATTGGAGATTCTACAAAGGGTAGGGGCAAGAGACATGACAAACAGAGGGCTGGTGACCCGCGTGATGAAAGAGATTGGGGCAGACCAAGCAAACGTGTCGAGCAGGGCAAACCCGACATGAGCAATGGCGATCCACTAATCTCCCTTATGAAAGTCCTGGCTGCATATTGGAAGAAGAGGTTTGCCGTTACTGCTCCTGGTTTACGGAAGCGTGGCTACGGTACCCGGCAGAGCTTGAAGCAGACTATCCAATCTCAGCGCAACGACGAGCACAATCCTGAGGTACATGGAGAGCGAATCAGAAATATCCAGGAATTCCGTCAGCTCGCGAGGAAGTCTGAGGGCTCGAGGGACGTCGGCGCTCAACTGTTTACCGCACTGCTGAGAGGCTTAGGTATCGAGGCCAGGTTGGTAGCGAGTCTACAGCCTAGTGGCTTCGGTTGGACCAAGGCAGAACAAGCACTACCCAAAAAGGCCATCGAGGAGGTCGATTCCGATACTTCTCTTAACGATTCAGAGTCTGGAGACGCCAAATCGATATCGGAGATCACAAAGACTCCAGCACGACGGAAAGGCGGGCCTCGCAAACCAGTCAAGGTCGGTTCTGAGCTCGAAGACGACGACTCCTCAGTTGTGGACATCACCCCAACCATGCCCAAGAAACGACCTCAGAAATACGACCGAGACAATCCCTTCCCCACCTACTGGACTGAGGCAATATCTCCTATAACACACAAAATCCTCCCTGTATCTCCACTCGTTCTTACGTCCCCGGTAGCAACTACTCCCGAAACCCTTGCGACCTTCGAGCCCCGCGGCATCAAAGCCGAGAAGACAAAGACAGTGATGGCCTATGTCATTGCGTATTCTTCGGATGGCTCGGCGAAGGATGTGACTGTGCGATATCTGAAGAAAAGAATTTGGCCAGGCAAGACAAAAGGGTTTCGATTCCCTGTGGAGAAGATTCCTGTATACAACAAACACGGCAAGGTCAAGAGATACGAGGACTACGACTGGTTCAAGCGCGTAATGAGTGGCTACGCTCGGCCTGACCCGATGAGAACAGCGGTCGACGACGTGGAAGATGCGACGGATCTTGTCCCTCAGCTCCCTGAGAAGAAGGACGGCGGTGGTCAAGAAGTCGACACTTTGCAGTCACTTAAGGCCTCCGCTGATTATGTGCTCGAACGGTTCCTCCGCCGTGAAGAAGCACTTCGACCCAACGCCAAACCGGTGCGCATCTTCGTTTCAGGAAAGGGCGACAACCAGAAGGAGGAGCCAGTGTTTCGCCGATCCGACGTTGAACGATGTTTGACAGCAGAGTCATGGCATAAAGAGGGCCGTCGTCCTTCAGCCGGGGAGGCTCCTTTGAAGCTAGTTCCGGTGCGGGCTGTCACGTTGACTCGTAAGCGGGAAGCAGAAGAACACGAACGACAAACTGGAGAGAAACAGATGCAGGGCCTGTACAGCTGGGATCAGACTGAATACATCATCCCTCCTCCAATACAAAACGGGGTGATACCGAAGAACGCCTATGGAAACATAGATTGCTTTGTTCCTTCGATGGTGCCCAAAGGCGCCGTTCATATTCCTCTGAGAGGGACTGTGCGGATCTGTAAGAAGCTACAGGTTGACTTTGCTGAGGCAGTCACGGGCTTTGAATTCGGCAACAAGCGCGCAGTGCCCATATGCACCGGAGTGGTCGTCGCGAAGGAGAATGAGCGGGCTGTCAAAGAGGCATGGCACGAATTCAATGAGGAGCAGAGGAAAAAACAGGAGAAGAAGATAGAGTCGATGGTATTGGAGCTATGGAGAAAATTTGTTGTCGGGCTGAGGATCAGGGAGAGAGTGAGGGACACATACGGCGATCAGAATGCGGTTGATGAGCTGGCAGTGGGGAAGAGTCAAGACCAGCCGATCATGTTGGAAACTGACGACGAGGCTCCCATGGCGCATCGAGATTTACCTGAAACTCAGACCGCCGAGGACGACTTCGGTGAGGGAGGCGGGTTTCTTCTCGACTCCGACGAAGAGCAGCTGGTCGAAAGTGACCTCGAAGTGGTCCATCACCAAGACGCGCCGAAATCGCATGTCTCGGCTCACTCCATTTCCAAGGGGAAAGAACGAGCTTCAGACTATCAGTATCCGACCCCGTCTTCTGTCTCGCCGTTGAAACCCGCGCTTCGACGTCGACGACCTGGAAAGTCTATCCTCGATGAACCTGGAGGCAGTGAGCACGAGAGTTCAGGTTTATCAGCGCCTCCCAGCGACGATAGCGGAGACATGGAAGAGTTCGACCACGAATCCGGTATCGAAAGCAGGCTATACGATGTCGGCGATGCTGCTGATGATGATGACGAGGACGACTTGAGGGGCGAAGGAGAAGATGACGACGATAGTGATCACGATGACAAAACTTCGATTGACTCCGATTCGGACGACTATGTGCCCACGAGAGCTACCAAACGCAACTCCTCAGCGCCCAAACCTCGGGCTCAGGGAAATTCCACGGCCGCGTCTCAGCCATCCTCGCGGGGACGAACAAGAACAAGCACCAGGGCTGCCACAACGGTCATATCTAGTCCCACTCCGGACGACGACGGAGATGACAGCAAGTTTGAGTCTGACGCTGCCAACGACACAACAGCACGCCGGTCCAAGTCAAAGGGCGAACGAACCTCGCGGTCCAAGATCAAGCCAGACCTGGCGAAAGAAACCCGCTCGGCAGGTCGGCCTCGCACCCCCACCGCAGGAGGACGACGGTTGAGACGGGACAGCACCAAGGTCACGAGCCCGTACTTCAATGCCTAGCCACCAAACCGGGTATCTACTGTATATACACGGTAACAGGAAACGTGGGGGACTGGCTGCTAGAACCCGAACAGATCAGCTGAGTGGCCAAGACCGGAATACACGCACGGAGACGACAAGGAACGAAGACTTCTCTATTATTATGATAAAAGTGTGGGATGTATATGAATAGCTTGGACCCTTGGGGATTGTAGAATCTCCTGGGTGCAGGCTGTAGATATGAGGTACATTGACGTACATAGATGTACGAGTATGATGAGCCCAGTGAGACGACCTTGATAGTAATCTCCAGAGTCCTTGCTGTCTTCTCCTCATTCCGCTGGCGTGGACATACAGAAGTCGTTGTAATGGATACATCATTATCACCATTCGTCATGGCTTGTGGCCGCATCTGTGTTCCTCTCTCTCTTGACAACATCGTCCGTCACAGAGGTTGTGTCTCCCACCGAAGGAGGATAATCAATCTCATTACTGTCCAAGGGACGGTTGTCGTGATGGTGTTGTTAGGGGTGGGACACGGGAAAGAGACTGCAAAACGGGTTTCAGAGAGATGGAGAGAGAGAGAGAGAGACGACAGCTCAGGTGAAATTCCTGGGCCATCGTCTACCCCAGCGGTCGGGCTGCTCGTACACGCCCTGCGGACTCCATGGCATGTCGCCGTCCTTGTAAGGCGTAAGGGGGAGGTCGTACGGGATGCGCAGGCCGACCAGTGTTTCGGGACCAGGCGATGCTTCGGCGATGTCGTTCGAGGTGTGTGGAGGGTGTTGAGGTGTATCTCCTCCGAACACGGGAATCATCTTTATCTTTCGGGCATCACTGGTCTCTTCTCCCACTGCACCGTGCTCGTCCGTCTCACTGGCGCCTTCGGCGTCAAAGTTCTCGGCAAACAGCTCTGGCCAGACAAGCACGCCGATCTCGTAGCTCTGCACGACAATCTCCTTATCTTTCACGCGGAGAGTGCCCCAGGCCTGCTGGCTTAGATTCGCGCTCGTCAACAACGCCCACTTCACCTCCGGTCTTGGTTTCGTCGTCATCGGCTTGCTGGCAAAGCACACATATGTCTTGATGTGTGGTGCCGCCTCGTCTCTTCCCGCTCTTGCGTCTTTGATTGAGCCTCTGGTCCATTGACACAATGATCTTCGAAGGCCAGTGATTTGTTTCAAGTGAGCAGCGGATTGTGCCTTTGTGTGGATGGATCCGCCGGATGCGTACCCGTCGAGCGATGCCGCAACGTTGTGAGGTGTTGGGTAGATGATTGAGATGCGCTCGGGCTCCCATTCACGTGCTGGACTGGTTGAGGTAAATTGCAGGGCAGAGTAGAGCACTGGGAAGAACTGATTTAGCCAGCTCTGTGGGAGGGTGGCGATTGAGGAAATCTGGCAAACAACATGCGGTGACTCTGTGCCTGTCTGCTTGTTGGATGGTATAGTCTTCCCTTGTGTTGGGAGAATCGATCTCAACGCTCGCAACAGACTTGGGTAGCCCCAGAGCTTCAAATCCCAGGCGACCTCGTTCTTCTGCGCGGTTGAGGACTCCTTCATTCGTGACGGAACGGAAGCAACAAGGGCACCTCTGACGGTTCTAAAATCGAATTGAGCCAGTTGTTCCCGCAGGTCCTTTGTTTTTGATGCGTATGCGGTGAGATAGGCGAGCAAATCATGCTTAAATCTCGTCCCAGTTCCTATCTTGCCCGGTTTGTCTACCTGCTTGCCTTCTAGAAGTGGTAGCATAGGAGACAGCCATGCCGCCTGGGTCATGTTGGTCCAGTCCTTCTCCAAAATATTGGCTGTGTGGATAACAACCTGCGCAAGGTCATCGTGGGTAAAGAGAATGAACATCTTGCTATGGTGAGTTCCGAACTGGTCAGGCAAATAAGCAGTCGCGGCTTCAACATTGGTCCATCTCCGACACGCATCGTCGATGAGGATCTTGTTTGGAGAGTCATTCTTCCACGAGCCATGAAGAATCTTTACTTTGACACTGGGGCGAATATCGGGGTCGAAATGGGTCATCAGCCAGTCGACATCGAAGCAGTAGTTGAAGATCCATGCTTCCTTGATCAGTGGATTCCCGAGGATGTCATGTAGTGAGACAGTATCAGCGTTCTTGGAAGGCGGAAGGTCACGTATGGTCGTGAGTCTGAAAGGGGAGGGAACGAGCTTCGCTGTAGAGGTTTGGCTGGATTCAATGTTGGTGTATTGACTGTCTGAATCTGCGTGGACTCGCTTGGGTGATTGAATCTGAGGTAGCGGAGGACGAGGAGGATCGTCCTTTTTTGGGCTCTCGCTCGTCTGGGTCTGCGGCTGCGGCGTCGTTGTTCCCGATCTCGAGATGCCTGGAGGTGAGATTGACCTTGAGATTGAACTGAGGAACGCGGCTCTCTTCACCCGGATGGATGCTGGGTCCGCGACATTGCTGTCTGGAGGCGATCTCTGCGAGGCCGATGGAATGTGACTTGGGTTGGAGTCGAGCTTGACTCGTTTTGAAGGTCTTCCGGCCATCAGAGGGAAACCTGACAGCTGTCGTGTGAAGTTGTGAGCAGGTTGAAATCCTGAGCGAGTTGCGGCGAAGATGGATGAAAGAGTCGAGCGAGAAGTGAATCGGAAGATCCCGAAGGTGACGCACGACACCGACATTTACCAAAGACCTGCCCGATCACCCCATACAACGACTCGGTAGCCTTACAAACTCATCTGGGGATCCTATTACCCGTGTAAGGCAATTTGCAGTTAACTAGAAGACGCATTAGGACACGCTTGGAAGGCTGGAAGGCTGCAGTGGGTGACCTGGGATTCGGATCATCTTCGGCACATACTACACGAGGAATACAAGGCATATCAGATAAAGGTTGATTCGTCTATATCACAGGGGTATCAATCAAGGTCTATACGCTATTTCACGCCATATGTCTACTACACCGCAGACCCCAGCCCCCGATTATCAATGCCGAATATTATCAACGCCATCGTGTGCCGCACAAACAGCCCTAAGAGGCCACAGCACGTCTGCATGACCAGCAACTCCCTTGTGAGCTGTTCTTCTCTCATAGGACCCCTCCATACCAGCCACAAATTGATAATGGTCAGATTCGATGTGCTAGAGATGCGGTTCGTCTTGGAATCCACCGTCACTTGAATTAGGTGTAACTTCTCGAGGAAGAAGAATACCGCCGTGAGAAGCTTGCTGGGAGGCCTCTCCGGTGGCCATGGTGTCACACTGGGCTCGAGGAGGCCTGTTCTTGCGTTAAACTTGGGTAGCCGATGTCGAGGACACGGAATCAGGTGGAATAGCTGTGGAGTACTGTAGAGGAAGTTGGCAATCTGTGGAATCAGAAGCAGAAGGAGTGTCTTGCTGAAATGCGCCATGATCGCCACCACCGCAAATGTCATGCCTGCGACATAGCAATATGTGTCCCCAACGAAGACTCTAGCTGGGTATCGGTTGTGGATGTAAAGGGCTGTCGACACGGCCAAGAATGGCAATAAGATATACAGCGTCATGAGATGTCCATCGGTGGCAGGATGTGGGCGCGTTGCATAGGCGTGGTTCAAGACCGGATTCCCAGGGAAAGGGACCAGATAGAGTGCTGAATTGAGCACCAAGAGTCCCGCAATCACCAGTGACTGTCCAACTTCAATCCCATTGACCCCTGCGAGGATGTTGATGGAGTTTGGGGCAAATATTGACAGTGCTGACATGTACAGGTAATAGAAGAATGACAGGTCGATGAGACGAGCTTGATTAGGCATGTAAGGGACAAGGAAATTGGGAACCACCACCGAAGTGACGCCAAAGTCGACATAGTAAACAATCAGCAGGGGTAGTGATGCTACCGCGGGGATGAAGAACTTGTGTCTCCAGCGAAGGTCGAGGAGGTCGTCGCATATACCAAGTATGGTCGTGGCTTGGAGCGTGTTCAGTGCCGATTGATACGAGGACAGTTTCGAGTGAGGAAATCGGTGCAAAAAGCGTCCAGTCTCGACCTCAGTGACTGTGAGAACGACATCCCGGTTTCCTCCACCGGACGTAGCAGCGACGATGTCCTTGTAGAAGGCGAAAGGAATGAAGGCCATCAGAGCCAGTATGTAGACCGCCGCAGCCACTGCCCCCATGGCCTCAGGACTATGCAGATTAGCGTCCGCACCCTATTCAGCATTGAAAACTGCTCACATCTCTTTAGGCATGATCTTGCTCATGTCTCTCCCTTTCAGGCCAGCCTTGACAAAAGCCGGGCCGGACCATCGCACAAAAGCATAAGTCATAGAGAAAGCCAGGGTCGAGAACGCGAGGGATGCCACAAGAGGGGCTCCATCTCCCTGGAAGGTGTTGGCAATCACAGCCAGAGAAGCTCCGGTGGCCACAAACAGCGACCATTTCTCTGAAGGGCTGAGTGCGGAAGAAGCCATGATGTTCTTGATGTAAGATGCGACTTTTGTGTTACCTCGACCGCACAGAGATGGGAGCCATGGTAATGCTTCACCCAGACGAGACTGCGCGCCGGTGAATGTACCAACAACAGCCTTTTTGTCGAACAATGGTAGGATGCTGTGAGATATCAAGTTGGCGACCTGACAATCTGTCCTTTGGTCAATCCCAGCTTGTAGTCTTCGGAATAATGATAATCCGACGGAGCCAGCCTCGCAGATATTCAGCCAATCAGGGGCTGCTTGAAACCAACCAACCAAACCTCGAAAGCTACTATTGACATCCACGAAAATGCCTCTCTATTTCTTGCTCTCTGTATCCAATATTGTCAGTTGTGGGTTATACCGAGCTCCGAGACACCTCTAAGAATCTATCTACCGGAAATGAAAGCTATTAGCATGCAATGTCTCAGCACGGCCTAACCTGACACATCCTTGTCCATCAATCGACCTCAGGAATGAAGTATTTACTTCCCCCAAGCCACTTATGACCACGACTTCCCCTGCCGAATCTGCTCTCTGCTTGATCACTCAGACGTTCAATTGAGCAGCTTCCGGGTCGCTACTAATAGCGCCGTCTGCTCTCCACAATGGGTAAAAGCTCGGCGTTCGATCCGGGCCATCACGATCGCGTCACAGTGGTGCACACCAACTTCAACGGCACCCTCATCCTGACGGCGTCGATAGACCACCGGATCAAGGTCTGGGAGCGAGATCCGAAGACGGGTGAGAGAAAGTTGCTGGACACCTTCACGGCACATGACTCCGATGTGAGAGATGTGAGTTTTAAAGAAATCCTTTTGGCTTCCCGATCCCATCTATTTTCCTTTCCTCTTTTTATGCGTACTCCCTGCTAACCAGACAACGCAATATGTACCAAAAAGGCCAAGTTCCTACACCCAACGCTAGGCACACACCTAGGCAGCATAGGCAACGATCTCAAATTCCACCTCTGGAGTGAAGACGCTTCGCAAGCTCCTCGAGGAGGCCATCGGTTTAGGCGCGTCGCGACAATCCCATCGACGCCGCGCGTGCCATTTGTGAGCATGGACGTCAAGACGCTGGCAACGGACCACGTGTCGACGTTCCTGGCCCTGATTGACCGACAGGGCCTGCTGAGCATCTACGAGCCGAGCACACCGGACGATCTGCGAGAGTGGACGCTACTGGACTGCTTCAACGTGTGCGCGACGGGTACAAGCGCCACGCCCGGCCGCGGCGAAGAGACCAGCTTCAAAGTGCGCTTCGACCCGAACCCGACGCCGCTGGCTTACATCAACTCGGTCAGCGACGACCGCGACCAATTGGGCATCGTGGTCTGCGCGCTCAACGAGGTCAAGATCTATCGCAGCGTCGTGCCCTCGCACACCGGTACCAGCGCGGACGTGAGCATGGGTGGCATAGGCATGGGCATCAGCGGTGGCACGGGCATCTCGGGTGGCAGCAACGCCAGCCACCGACTGATGTTCTACGAGGCCATCAGACTGCCCACGCATCCAACGCTGGTGCGGGACGTGGCATGGGCGCCGTTCAGCGTGCGTGGCACCGACCGCATCGCGACGGCGTGCAAAGACGGCGCCGTACGCATCTTTGAACTCGGTGTCGCTGACGGCCCTGGCGCTGCGGCCAGAGACGGCGATGACAGTCGGCAACAGCGCAACAATGGCCCTCCAGGCCGCAACAACGGCGCAGACCCGCAACACTCTACACCAACGCCAACAACACGTAGCATGAGTATGCAACAACAGTCACAACAGCAACATCAATCGAGTCTGACGACCCAAATCGCCGGCCGACACGGGACCACCGTGACGCACCACACGTCCCCTTCGTCCTCCGGGACATCGGCGCCGCAACACTCGGCGAACCCCGCCCGGACGGCCTACACGTTTCCTTACATGACCACCCTCTCGTCTGCTACCACGCTCGCCCAGGCGCACACGGACGCCTGGTCCGTCATGTTCGACTCGCAGGGCCAGGTGCTCATGAGCACCGGCGGCGACGGGGTGACCAAGGTGTGGAGGAAGAGTGTGCTGGGTGGGCAGTGGATGATGTTTGCGGGACAGGAGATTACGGGTGATGATAATGATGATGACGACGACGAGGATGAAGATGATGATGACGATGACGATGAAGCGGACGAAGAACACAGGGAAGACGGCAATAGAGTGAATGGGAAGAAACAGGGGACAGAGACGGCGTAGGATGACCACAGTGTGTATGTGTGTGGTTATGGCGAGGACATCCCTCCTGTGCTACTTTGGGCCTGGTTCTCAAGAGGTCCACGACTTTCGTCGATCGAAAAATCCACAACGCGGCAAACCGTCAGCGTTGCTACTACAACCATAAAGAGGCAAGTTGTGTTGTGTTGGTGTGTCTGAGAAAGATGTATTGGTCAAAAGTCAAGAACAACCGTTCAGCCGTGGGCACTACCAAGTCTGTCCGCTTCCATGGCCTGCCTGCTGCCCAAGGAGACCTCTTTAATTCCCGCCGACGGCCTCGGGCGCCTTGTGCGGATCAAAGCCGTACTTGAGCTTGAGACTGTCGACGAGCTTGATGTAGCGCTCCTCAGCGGCCTCGGCGGTGGTACCGGCATCGACCTCCTTCTGCCAGGCCTTGTGCTTCGCTTTGCCCTGTTCACAAGAGACAAAGAATCGGGTTAGTGGCATGGACTTTTTTTGGGATGGAAATATACAAAGTGATATATAGGATTGGGGTCTGGTACCTTCAGGTCGAACATTCCTGGAGCGGGAGCCTTGGAGATATCCTCGCCATTGGCGACCTTGAAGAGGGCGTAAAGCTAGATATTACGGAGAGATTAGTTAGAATTTGTTAATGCTTAGGTCTTGCTTAGGAAGAAAAAAATCATAGGGCCGTCCAGGAACAGAAATGTGGGATGTTCAGAAGCTTTGTGACACAGGGTTGGCGGGACAGAGCTGCTAGGAGAAGATGCCTCCACGTAGAGCATCCAGCATTTTGCAATCATTTGCAATGGTCTCACCAACTCGATCGTAGTGGGGGCTCGTGTCTCCTTTCCTCCCGTTTCCTTTTTTCAGGGGCCCCCTCCCTTACATTCCTCTCCACCGAAAGTTGCCAGCAAGAAAAGACATGTCAGATAGGAACTCACCTCCAATAACTCGTCATTGCTGGGCTTGGCCTTGAGCAGACGACTGTCGTCGGCGGCCTTTTGAAACGCTGCGGAAGGCATCTTTTCAACGACCCGGAGATTGTATTTTGTTTACTTTTTTCCTTTTCCGAACTAAAAGGCAGGCCCTGGCTGCACTCGCAAAACTGAGAGGAAGAGAAATCTCTGAGAGGGAGGCTTGGATGGAGTTAACGGACGGTGTGGAGGGGTGCCTGCGTTGCGTGCTCAGCGTTAGCACCGACTGACCCTAGTCACAAGAACATGTATAACAGAGACGGCTGAAGGGTGAACTGGCTGCTAGGCAAGATCTAGAGCCGGATGGACGGCGAATGTCTGTGAGAGGGAATGTCCTCGATCCATCAAGGACTGGAGGTTGAGACACCACCTCTAGTGTCACCGCCTACCGTGGTGGTGGTAATGACGCATTGGTCGCTTGGAGGGGTAATAGAGACAGTAACTGACCTCTGGTGTTTCTTGGTTGGCAGGATACTGTATCAAGATTCTGCTCAAGGTACAACGCAAGCAATGCAGAGCAGATGTCACAAGGATGTAAAACACCGCAGGCGGAGGAAACGTCAACAGATGGTAATTATTTGGTGGTTGATCCCCCCAACCAAAAAACGACGTCAGAGTCCAGAGGACCCATTTCTTTGCGCTTTTGGTGGGGGACGAATATCCTCCGAGTGGCGCTGACCGAGGGCTGTTTCTTTACCAAGTCACGCAAGTACAAGTACGAGGTACCTCGTTGTTGAACCAGCCACACAGCTACAGGAGGTAGTGTTTGTGAACAACAAGTCACTATTTTCATTGCTGGTGGCAAAGGCTGTTGCTGTTGCCATTGCTGTTATTCATCCACCATTAGGATCACTATCCAGCAGAGCATTGTCCAGCAATCATTAACTCATCCAGCTCTTTTTTGGTTTCCGAGGCTGATCGTGAGTGTAGATCAAAGTGCTGCACCAAAGCCACTCCATCTGAAAAGAGATCCAGTAAAAAGCACATGTAGTCGCATTCCCATCCATCGTGCTCCATACGCCGTTGCGTGCTTGTGATGATCCGTAGCCCCCGCTTTCAATATGCTCACTCCTCAGTCTATGACAAGTGCCATATCACACCAACAAGAGTGGATCATTGATCGTGCTTCATGTTGCACATGAGCACCAATGAAACGTATGTCGTTTACACCAACGAGGTTATCCAAGAGGACGACCACCGCGAGATCTCCTCTGAGGCACAGCGACTACCAATCAGCGGCCCAACCGTTCTTCTCCAGAAACTCTGCACAGGCATTCTTCAACGCGACATTGGGTATCAGGTTGTCCGGCTTGAGAGGCTGCCTTGTGAGGGGGTCAGTTCCGACGACCTTGATGTGTTTTAACAAAGACACCCGCTCGTATGAGACGCCAGTAGGTGTTACAACAGGGTCGTGCATCACTTCGAACGTTATGGGGTCAATGAGCCAGTCAGGGACAACCTGTGCACGGCAGCCAGATTAGCAACATAGTCACATAGAGGCAACGTCTGTGCACATACTCTCTCCGCCGAATCTGGTACACCCTTGTCCTCAAAGCCCCGTCTGATATTTGCTCTTCTCACTTCAGCCTCTCTTTGAAGTTCTTCAATCTCCTCCCGACGTCCCGTGTCCCCAATCTCGCCTGCCTTGAACTTTTCTTCCACAGCGTCAAGGTCTCGTTGTAATTGTGCGTCCAGCAGGTCTTCAACCAATGCCAACGTCTCATTCATCTCTCGCAAACGCGCCGTCTCTTTAGCCTGCCATTGTGCTTGCTTCGCTTTCAAAATGAAATTGCTGATCAACTCTGCAGAGCTGTCGTGTGTCTCTAGACAAATGGCATATGCTGTTTTGGCCTCCTCCAGCGCTTCGGTGACATGACGTTGCGCCAGGAGGGCTTGCGCCAGATAATAATGAGATTTCATGGCGGCATTCTTGTGTTTGACACCGTATAATTCTATCGCCTTGCGCGCGTCGGTTTCAGCGCCGGGCCAGTCTTGGAGACGGATGCGGGTGAGGGCTCGGTTAGCAAAGACTTTGGGGTCGGAGCGGGAGTGTTCAGCGATCCTGTTTCATTTACAAGGTTAGGACCTTGGATGTTCAAAGACAAACGCAGCGATGAGGGTGGAACGAGAGACGCACGCTTGGGTATAGAGTTGCTCGGCTTCCTTGTACTCGCCGGCTTTGAACTTCTCGTTGCCTAGTTCTCGGAAAGACATGGCGGGCTAATGGTCAAATACTCTAGATTCTAGGAAGATGAAATGTCAATCAAGTATGGAAAAGACAACCTCAATAAAATTGACAGTCAGTTAATCTGGTAAGGGTAAAAGCAGCGCATGCAGCATGTAGTGAAGAGCGACAGCAACCGAGCAAATGCATCTACTTGTACAATCATAAAATGTTAACAGCCGAGACGCATAGCTGTCCAAGAGTGTCCAAATATCCAGAAAACCGATCGTGCGACGCCTGGTCGATGGTCGGATATCGTGGCAAGTCAGCCTTGGGGACAGAAGGTGATGGATGCGTTTGGATACTTTTGGGAGAAGAGACACTGCACAACGCATCACAAGGCGGAGTTCGGACGAATTTAGATGCGTAAGTTGCGGGTACAGGCACGGGATGCGGAGAAGCACACCTGCACCTTCCCGCCCAGACTACCTCTTGCCTAGGCGTGCCCTCATCCTCACAGCTGCACCAGTTGCCCAGCCACAGCCTCTCAACCAACCAGGGAACGATATAGACTTCAAACCATAATATAATCACAGTGAATTGCTTTCATTGAATTTCATACTGCCATGACATGTCATGGGTATTTGGAGTGGTCTTGTGAGAAAGCTTCCGAAGGCTCAATTTCCTCAATCACTCCTTGGAATCGACAGTGTATTCCATATCCACAGTCGCCCCCAACCCATTTGCCCTGTCTCCGTTTTCCTGGAACGCCCAACTCAACTGTACATATCGCTGCTGAAGGTAAAAATGGTTTCCATGATCTAATTCATCAATCCGCTGTCATTTCCATTCGACATACGCTGCATTCAAGCGGCTCCTGCGGTAGGAGTGTTCTGGAGCACTTTGGTTGGTTGGTACCCAGCTCGAATGATCCTTTCGCCAGAGGAATCACGGCTGACTTCACCCTTGGCCTCCAATTGAGACCGCCGCCAGATATCAACCTCACCTCCGCCACGGATGACACCAACTCTCATTGTCGAAAGCAAGTTGTGAGCTGCGTTGCTGTGCATATACACACCACCATTGAACATGGCAGTGGCATCTTTGCCAATGCCGGAGTTGATCATAGCCTTGCCACCCGGATGGTCCTTGATGAAATCCGTTACATCGTGAACAATTCCGGCGACAGCAATCAGACCACGGCCGTTCTTGCATTGATCAACGTACTCATCCCATTCCATAACAGGAAGTTGATCGAGAGGAACACCCCAATCGAGCCTGGCACGTTTCTGATCAAGCTTCTTTTGTTGTTGCTGAAGGCGACCCTTTTCGATTTCGTTGCTGCGGAATTGTTTCAGGTCGTACGCAAGACCGAGCTGTTTGCAGGTCCAGATGAACCACTTGGTGGGATCATATTGGTGCCACTCGATCGCATTGCGGTAATCGGAGGGGAACTCGTGGTGGAAGTTGTGGTAGCCTTCACCTAGAGTAACCAAAGCCGTGATGACGTGGTCACGCGGGGAGTTGCGGTCGTCAAAAGGTTGGTCTCCCAGCCAGTGGGCCAAAGAGTTGACGCAGAAGGTGGCTTGCTGAACGAAGAAGATTCGGAGAATGCCAGCATAGATGAAACCACCCCACCAATCACCCCATCCCAGGCCAGCAACAATAGTAGGCAGGATCAGACCCATGAAGATCACGACCTTGAGATAGTTCTTATGTTGCCAGACGACAATCGGGTCTTCGTTCAGATCCGAGATATCGGTACGTCCAATTCTCTTGGGGTTTTGCTTCATGACCATCCAGCCAATGTGAGAATACAGCAGACCCTTGCGGACAGAGTATGGGTCCTTGTCCGTGTCCGTGTACCTGTGGTGTGCTCGGTGGTCACGCGACCACCATCTGATCGAACCCTCGACAGCACCACCACCAACAGCGGCGAGGAAGAATCTCAGAGGCAGAGTGGCGGAATAAGAGGTATGAGCCCATAATCTGTGATATCCAGCTGTGATACCCAACCCAGTGGCAAAGTAATATAGCACTGCCCAGACAGCGGTCTTGAGCTGAAGGGGCACCCAGAAGGCCTGGATGCAGCCCCAGAGTGGAATGCCAACGATGAGGGTAACGTTGAGCCAGTTGACGTGTTTGTACCAATTCGACCGTGTCATGGGCATCTCGGTGATGTGAACTTTCTTGGGGTCATACTTGGTGCTTCGATTGGGTTCGGAGGGCTTAGCCATCGGCGATGGCTGAGACGACTGAAACTCAGGCTTGACAGCCAGGTCACCAGCGGTGGGTTGAGATGAAGGCATTGCTGAAGCAGTCGAGGTTCAACTGATGCCAGAGGTACAGAGGACTGAGGATGGAATGAGGGAATGAAGGGGGGGAAGATCAGGAAGGACTTGGGACCGAAGGCTATATTTATGAGAATGGGTGAGGATAATCCGAAAGGGTGATGGTGTGTTTGAGTTTCCTCAGATATGTTGAGAGGCGATTGTGGGGAAGTCGGTGGAATGGGTCAGAGGCACAGGCAATAAGATCGGAGGCAATACTTCGAGGGTAAGACGATCATGCTCAGCGGATACTCAGACACCAGAGCATTTGCACAACAGACGAATCGTGGACTAAGTGAGGTCGGCGAGAACCTGGAAATCGGCCAGTCCCTTCGGACAGAAATTTTCCTGGTCTCATGAGGCGGTCTTGATGGGTTCCAAGGTTGGCTGACGATTCCCAAAAGGCTGGAGTTGGGAAGCGGCAACGCAGCGCAGCTTCCCGGTTGCGAAAAAGATGCTGCAGGGTTTTGTGATTTTTGTTGGGGAAGAGCAACGTCACTAGTCTCGGCCGGCAGCCTCCTCCGACTGAGATATTATTGGTGGATCGCCTTCGGTGCCTTGCGCTAGAAGCCCGCTAGAAGCCCAGATCCTTGACGCTAGGAGAATTTTGACTGGGTTTCCCCAACATAACACTGTGGTCTGCATTTTCCGGTCGGACAGACTTGGTAAGAATAGCTACAAAGTGAACGGAGCACCAGGAACAGAGGCAACGAGAGCGGTTGCACAGAGACAACCGGTCAGACACTGACTTTCAGCCTCGTTGACGCCCAGAATGCTGCTTTCTGTACGAGTTATAGCAGGAGGCGCGACCATTCCTCAAATGAGCGACCTCGGCCCAACCGAATTTTAGACTGGAGGCTGAAGGAGCAGGTCAGATCTCGGGTCTGTTGCTCCGAGGCACCAGGGGTGCCGCCAGGGGCCAACAGGAGACCAGGGACACTTCTTTGGGAACGGTTGGGGTCTCGCTCTTCGTTTCGGCCCCCGTATTTCGTATTGCTTTTCCACCCCCAGGCTTCTCTCCTCTTATGCGACCACTATTCCCGGGACAGAATGAGTGATATATCATTGGCTTGTTCTCAACGACAGGGTGTTCTTGGATGCTGACTCTATCATATGATTTCTGGAGGCGATCATGTCCTTGTTGCGAGCATGTGAGCTGCTCGACATGTCAAACCGTTGGGAAGGAGGCCTTCTCCCGCAGATGAGAACTCAACAAGAAGAGATTCCAAAATTGACGTGCTGTCACCTGTCATGATCTCATTGTTTTCCGGTGTGAAGACGTAGTCGTTTCACGGAGATTTGGCGTCTAGAAATCAAACATGGATTCAACTAGCCCTTCAGACGAGCAGACAATATGGTGGGTGCCTTCAGCGATGTTCTGTATCACCTATGCATCACCAAGGCACTGCTCTCGGCCCAACATCCAACCCATACGAGCCCTCTTGCCTTATCCCTCCAGCTTGATCCTCAGCCCGCTCCCTGACTTCCTCTCCCATATCGCCTCCGCTATTCTTCCATCTCTTATGTAGCCTGCGGGCTGCAAGCCTGCCCACTCCCCAAACACCCGCTGCAATAACACTTGCTCCAATTGTAGGGGGAGCAGCTATCCAAGCCACCCCGGACACCATGCCGCCAACCGCAGTAGCTCCGACTGCGGCCACCAAGGCTCCAACTGCCATATATTTTGCCCAGCGTACCAGGCGCCAGATGATGAACTGCCCTACATATCGCACTGTGCGGAGCAGTGCGCGCGTTCGAAATCGAGCAGGCTTCTCGGCTGTGTTGGCAGTCGGCGAGATGAGGTAGTTCAGGTTGCGTTTGGCGGAAATCAAGGCAGAGTTGGATTGTTGTTGAACAGCAGTGTCCCCGTCGTCTATAGCTGAGGCGATTGACGCCTTGCCCCGAGAGGGTGCCATGGTCGACTAGGGTCTGATAGTTAGATCCTAAGAAACAAGATGGATGATATAGGCAGACTTGGTGCGCAGGAAAGGTTGGTTGACGGCTTCAGTGGTGAAAAGAGTCTCCCACATGCCTCAAGTCCAAACATTGTTTGGATGATATATTGTGACGTAATTGGCCTATGCACGACACAGCCTCGTCGGTCTCGGGGCTCAAACATTGCTTCTTGTACGTTTCAAACTTGCTTGTAGATCCTGTCCCGTTCCAACATGCTGAGCACCTACCAACGCCGGTATAGAGGTATCTGGACTCATGTTTCGAATCTATGCGACATGCACATACATACCTTGTGAAGGCCATATTGTGTGGAAGTACAGTAAATCGACTTCCCAAAATGAGGCTAGTGGCGTGTCGGATATTGACCGGGAAAACTCCGACCTTCTTACCACGGATATTTTAGTCGACAGCTTATCCTTGCAGTGGGCTGATCTACTTGTAGGGTGCTTGCATCCACCAGCACACAATGTCAAGGGGTGTGCCAAAGAAAGTCTTCGACGCGGTGGTCGTTGGCGCAGGAGGTGCAGGTGTCGCAACGGTTGGCGCGCTCCTCCACTTTAACCAAACCTTTAGGATCGGATGGGTAGATCCAGACTTCTCGGGGGGACGAATATCAAAGAAATATAGGGATGTATCGAGGTGTGTATGAGAGACTCCAAGACCTCCCACTGCTCAAGATTGGCAGATGAACTCTTCTGACGCTTGTAGCAACACCAAAACATCTCTGTTCCGACAGTATGCCGACGCTTTCGAGCCGTTCCGTCAGATTGTGGCTTCGACGCCAAAGCCACACGCTGTGACTGTACTCGAAGCCCTCGATCAGAACCGAGGCTGCCGTCTTCAATATGCAGCGGACATGCTGACAATGTTGACGACTGGCCTGCGCAGACATGCCAACGTCGAGACACACATGGGAACCTTGTCTCGAGGGGATTTCCAAACTTCGTCGGCCTCTTGGTCAATGGATCTCGACCCAACGACCCGCGGGCCAACCCAAAAGATCTTCTCCCGAAACGTCATCATGTGCACAGGCTCATCGCCCACGACGATACCGCTACCTTGTTCGTCGCCGACCATACTCGACCTCGACGTCGTCCTGGACCGACAGGCACTACGAGCCAGTCTGCCAATGACGGGTGCAGGTCCGGTTGTCGGAGTGATAGGCACATCTCACAGCGCCATCGTCGCCATCATGAACCTGTACGAATTGGCAACAAGCACCCACCCGCATCTTCACATCAAGTGGTTCGTCCGCAGCCCCATGACCTACGCCGTCGAGATGGACGGCTGGATCCTGCGCGACAACACCGGCCTGAAAGGCGCCTCGGCAGACTTTGCCCGCGCACACTTGGAAGACGATAAACTGCCAGGGTCGCCGGTGGGGGAGTTCCTCACCAAGGTCGACTGCCCAGACGTCCGGGACGCATCAATGATCCCTCACTTGGACTCGTGCACGCATGTCGTCGAGGCCATCGGCTACACGAGAGACCCGCTGCCCCGGCTCTCCGTCGACGGCACGGCCCTCGAGGGTATCATCAGCTACGATCCAACCAACGGCGCGCTTTTGGACGGCAACGGCCACGTCGTCCCGCACGCGTACGGCGCCGGCATTGCCTTCCCAGAGCGAGTCACCGATCCGGCAGGGAACACCGAAAGCGCCGTCGGCCTGTGGAAATTCATCAAGTATCTGAACCGGGTTGTCCCGACGTGGTGTTAGCGCTTTTCAACTCCGACAGCGTATTCAGAGACAGGCAGAAAATACCACGGGAGGCAGGAGAGGCAGAGCAAGGAAGAGAGATGGAAGAAAACAGCTGAGAGAAGCTATTAAACCCCTGCCCTCGTCGAGGCAAGTCCGATTACCACGACGTTTGCTTTCCCGGAAGTGTTAAGCATCAAGGATAAACCATATTCTCTTCTTCCTCACGCTTGTATTAACCTGCCGACCGCAAGCATGATTTGCAATTTACACCATCTATAGACACAAGAAGCGGCGGCAGTGGCGGCGACGAAATTTGTTCCTGGGAATGCCACAGAATAAACAGGACGGACTGGAGTGATACAACGCTGGATTGGATTGATGGAGTGGCTGAGGCGCCCTTTCGATAGACATCGTCTAAATTTCCGGTGGAAATCCAGGCGTACTTAGTCGCAAAATACATACATACATGATGCTCTAGAAAACGAGGCCCGCAGAATTTCGGAAGCCGTGTCATCACGCTTTGGTCATAAGCTATGGAGGACTTACAAAGGACGGTGAGGGGCTCGCCATACAACCATCTTCTTGTTCGCGCGTAACAGAACATATTGGAACATAGAGATGAAGAGACCAAACTCCAGCCGTAGTAGGTGAGAGTATGCGAAGGAAGACAAAGTGCCGAACGATTGTGAGAGGAACCGATCACAATTGTGCAGGAGAGGATCATCATACGAGGTACTTTGCGGGAGGTACCTGTTGGAAATCCTTTTTAGATCCCAGATGTTATCGCCCTAGAGAGAGATGGTCGAGTTGAGCCAAGCCATATTCAGGCTCAGTTGTGCAGCGTCTAAACTTGGTGACAGATCCTCGTGGCGCAGATCTATATTTCTACTCTCCAAAGTATGGTGATTGGACAGCTCTAAAGCCTAAGAAGGACGCCAACTAAGCATCTTGAGCTTCAGGAATCCAGGAATAGGGGCCCAAGTGGTTCTGATATGTATGTTGTGTGTCGTAGGATTGGAAGGATGTTGGAGTTTGGAAACCAGCAGCTACGGGACCGCCTTACAATGATGTTTAGGAGCAGCGACGAGGCTTTTGGTGGCTGGATGGTAGCCAGATCAGGTCGATATCAAGCCTGTACATACATTTCTGCTCTCGTGAACGGATGCATCAAACACGTACTAAGTGTACAGAGTAGTCCTTTTATAGTTGATCGAAGGATACATTGCCCACTTGAGCTGAGATTCACCAGGAGGGAGGTGCCTGTACCCGTGTAAAACGGGAGGATCCCTGGGCCTGGGGCCATATAATGATGCGAGATCTGCCG